GACACAGCCCCTACCATTAACTGGGATGGTGCACCTCTGACATTGTCATCCCTGCTAAAGATCCTGTTGCTAACGTCCTTGGCCAACAATCTCCAAGGCCTGAGAACATGGTGCTGGAATGAAGATGGAAGTTTTGGAACATTACCTTTATGCCATTAGCTTTCTGTTGCCTTCTATGACTCTTTTCTCTTTCTTTTGCATTGTTTTCCTGTCGCCACCATGCAATGTCAACCTAATGGGACTGTTGGCTTCTCTGCCTCCCTCTCTCTGGAGGCCAGGCAGATGGACACCCCCACTGCATCTTAGTGGCTGCTTCAGATGCCCTCTGTGAGCCTCCTCCTTTTCTGCTTTAGACTCAATAAAGTTGTTTTGCATCCAAGCCTTGGCCTCTGATTCTCTTTTCATCTGTGGCATGTTCTTCCAGTAAGCTCAGGAAAAAACGTATAGAAGTAGAGGGTGAGAATCCATACAGCAGATTTTACTTCTTGCCCTTTATGTGGTAGCTGTCCAACACATCCCTGGCTAATCCACTGGAATTACTGTCAGGGTGAAGATGGCAGGGAATGGAAACCAGCAAAGCCTGGGGATGGCCCACAATCTCTTCCCTTCCAACACCGTCCTCACATTTAATATTTGTCCCAGCTTCTGTCTAGAAGGCAGGGCTGAGGGGTTTCATGATTAGTATTTCATCAGCCACACAAAAGAGCTGATTGGGAAGAGCTTTTCTATGGAGTCCTTTGCTGGTTCATCCAGGAACGGCCAATCTTTTTCCAATGTCGCAAAATGCAACCAAGTGGGGATTTTTTTACCATGCCCCTTTTGGTTTGTCCACTACTTATTTCCAAATATGTTGTGGTTTGATACTGCCCAATGCCAGGCACTGACAAAATTCATTGGCCCATCCTCTTCTGCTATAGCTGGGTAGAGGAGAGGGGAAAAAAAATTAACAAAAGGCTCATAAGTTAGGTAAGGACTGAGAAAAAAATACTCCAAGGGCAAAACAGGTTCAAATTTAAAGGTATGAGGTAAATTTATTATTAACGGAGTCAGAGGAGGATAATGAAAAGTAAAATAAGTCTTTAACCACCTTTTTTCACTCCCAGCCCCTCCCTCTTTCTCACTGACACTGAAGGGAGGCAGGGCAGGAGGTGCCTTGGCTGCAGGGTATTTGGCTGCAGTGCTGCTTCTCATGTGTCCTCACTTTGTGCTTCTCCCTGCCCCCTGTGCAGGTGCACCTGTGAGCCCCAGCCATGTCCTGCTGGGTTTTGGTTAGTTTGTCACTCGAGATCTTCTGTTTGCTCAGGGAGAGGAGTCTTTTCTCTGCTATGCCATGAAGTCCTTCCCATGGGCAAACAGTCTTCCCCAAACTGCTGTGGCATGGGTCACTCTTAGTGGGGTGCAGTCTTTTAAGGATAGGCTGTTCTAGTTTGGAAGCAAGGGCTCTCTCCCTCTATCTCTGGAAGCAGGAGCCCTCTCACTGTATTTGGGTTTCCCACTGGATCACAACTTTCCCTGACATCTACCCGCGTCAGCGTGAGTCCTTTTCCCACAGGCTGCAAGTGGGTCTCTGAATCCACCATGGACTTTATGGATTGCAGGGGGACAGTTTGTTTCACCATGGTCCTCACCACGGCTTGCAGAAGAATCTTGGCTCCAACGCTTGAAGCACTTCCTCCCCCTCTTTTTCCACTGACTTTGGTGCTGCGATGTTCCTTTCCCTCACATGTCGTCACTTCCTCCTCTTCTCTGACTAGAAGAAAAGCTGCTGCTTCTAGGAACCATCGCCAACAAGTTCCACCAATTCAAAGATTCCTACAGGAGCTCTGAGAAGTAGATTCATCTGGGATCTGCAAGGGGTAGTTCCTCGCCGTGTTTTTGCCACCAGCCATGCGGCCCCAGCACCATGCTCTGAGTGCACCAGGCGTTCAGTTAAAGAGATTTTTTTATCATATGCAATGATTACATATTCATTAGCAAGCCCAAAACACTTGACTTATTTTACATAGTTGCCATCCTTATCAGATGTCCTTCTATACTTCTTTGGGGTCTGTCCTCAAGCCTGATGTCCTTCTTCGGTAGCTGGTCCTCCACTGCCACATTTTAGTCAGGCCAATATTGTTGTTTAGCAGAACTACTGCTTTGTCAGGCTTGAAGAGCTGAGCAGCAACCCTACTTGCCATTTGCATTACTTCTGTTTGCCTAAGTTACATCCTAAAGGTATTTCTCTAAGAATGCGCTGTTAAGGGATACTGCTCTTATCAGAATAAAATGCTGTTCTTTTTGACTGTCCTTCTCAACCTCCCAACTTCCACCACCCAGATGTGGTCAAAGTCGTTTCTCCACGTACTTCATTCTCTTTGACAGAAAAATTTTCCCATAGCTCCTGGCTCAGGACAAAGGCTCCTCTTGCCAGGGGACTCCTCCATCTCCAAGGAGACACCAGAACCCTGTCACCTCAAAGCCTCCCCATAAGGCAGGGACAAGGACCCTGGGAAACAGCTGAGGGCCCCAAGGCTGCCTGGAGGTGGCATCAAAGGGATGGCCTGGGTTTGGGATTGTCCTTGAGAGATGTGGGGGCCGTGGCCCTCTCCAGGTTCCTGCAGAGAAGGAACTGGGGGCTGAGTGTGTGTCAGTGGCTGGCACGGCTGGGCAGGGAAGGCCCTCCAGGGCGTGCAATGGCTGGCTGAGAGCTCAGCTCAGGCCCAGCTGTGGACACACACACAGGGCCACTGACCCCCTGCCAGCCTGCCCAGCAGTGCTCAGAGGTGAGCCCAGCCACACAGAGCCCAGCACACGGGCACAGGCACACGGGCAGGGGCCTTGCACACAAGTGCCCTGCCCTGTGCACAGCCATCCCCGTGCAGGCCAGAGGCTCCCAGCGGGTGTTCCCAGCAGGGCACAAGCACAGGCATGTGCAGACACTCGCACACACTGGGGCACAGCCACGCTGCCACGCACATTATTGTCGGGGAGCACGTGGGGCAGAGGCCTGAGGAAGGGATGTGACTGAGCAGATGCTGGGGACATGCCAGCCACAGCAGATTCTGGGAACACCAAGCAGGACAGAAGCTCAGGCAGCAGTGCTACAGGAGTCTCATGCACTGAGAAGCCCGAGGAGGAAGGCAAAGAAATTTTACCTCGAAGGCAAGGCATGAAGGAGAGCCATTGGGTGATGAGCCACGGACTGGAGGCTTGGGACCACATGAGGCACTTCCAGTCAGCAGGAACAGAAAATATCCACAAGAATGCCTCAGGGCTGGCATTACCTCCTTCCTTGTGATACCTTCAGCACTTAGTTCATTTCTTATGATCATACTGACACATCCTTGCCCCCAGGAAGCATGGAACCTTGCATAGCAGCACTCAGAAGAAGTCATCAATTTCCCAGAGCTCCTGGACTATGGGGCAAAGGCCACTGTGGCCACAGGACTCCCCCATGCCCACAGAGCCACCAGAACCCTGCCACATAAACTTTCTCCATGAGGCAGGAACAAGGACCCTGGGAAACAGCTGAGGCTGCCTGGGCCTCAGAGGGATGGCCGGGGTTTGGGATTGTCCTTGAGAGATGTGGGGGCCGTGGCCCTCTCCAGGTTCCTGCAGAGAAGGAACTGGGGGCTGAGTGTGTGTCAGTGGCTGGCACGGCTGGGCAGGGAAGGCCCTCCAGGGCGTGCAATGGCTGGCTGAGAGCTCAGCTCAGGCCCAGCTGTGGACACACACACAGGGCCACTGACCCCCTGCCAGCCTGCCCAGCAGTGCTCAGAGGTGAGCCCAGCCACACAGAGCCCAGCACACGGGCACAGGCACACGGGCAGGGGCCTTGCACACAAGTGCCCTGCCCTGTGCACAGCCATCCCCGTGCAGGCCAGAGGCTCCCAGCGGGTGTTCCCAGCAGGGCACAAGCACAGGCATGTGCAGACACTCGCACACACTGGGGCACAGCCACGCTGCCACGCACATTATTGTCGGGGAGCACGTGGGGCAGAGGCCTGAGGAAGGGATGTGACTGAGCAGATGCTGGGGACATGCCAGCCACAGCAGATTCTGGGAACACCAAGCAGGACAGAATCTCAGGCAGCAGTGCTACAGGAGTCTCAGGGATTCTGCAGGATGACGAGAAGAGCAAAGAGTTTTCATTAAGGTGACAAGACACATAGTGGAGCTGATTGGTTCATGAGTGAAAGACTGGGGGGCTGAGAGCAGATGAGGCCCCTCCAGTCAGCAGCTATTTCAAATATCTTGCAACATTATAATCTCCACCAGAGTGCCTGAGGCTGGCATCACCTGCCATCTTTTGTATCCATTGTGCTCTTAGTTCATGTCTTATGACTACACTGACACATCCTTATCCCAGGAGACCTAAAATCTCACATACCAGCACTCAGAAGAAATACTCGTGAGGTGATGGCAGTGATGTAAGCCAGGAAATGCAAAGTCATTGTAGAGGGAAAATCCAACTCACTCTATAGGATTTCTAGAAATGTCGCCGTTCATTTGGATCATGTTGGAAATTTGTCACCTGTTTGTCACTGCATGGACTGTGGGCCCTGAGGCACTGTGGGGCCAGGATAAAAGGCAGCCTAACTGGTGGCTCTCTCAACCACTTCTGTCACCTCCTTCTCCTTGGCAACCAGGTGAGTTGGAAGCTTCTTTCTCCTCCACCCTCTCCAAGAAGGCCTTGGCCTTTCTGGCCCTTCTTCCTGCTCCTTGCTCTTCTGGGGGTGTTCTGCTGCGGTGGTGCTGTGGGCAGAGGGCAGAGCGTGTGTTGTGGCCAGAGGCTGAGGCTGGGCTGAGGTGCTGATTTGCATCCAGGTTAGGCAGGAGCCCAGCTGGGCCTGGCTGAGCTGGGAAGGACCGTGCTGGGCTCAGGCAAAGGATCCCTAGGTGGGGCCTGCCCAGCCTGGAGCTCGGCAGGCAGCAGGGGCCTTGTCCTGCTGGGGGTGCCTTGCGGGCCGTGTCTCAGGTGTGCGTGTGCTCTGCTTCCTCCCTGCCCTCTGTGCCAGGTGCAGCGCCAGGCTCGAGACATGTCCTGCTCTGAGAAGTGCCAGCAGTGCCGGCCCTGCGAGCCTTGCTGCCAGCCCAGCGGCCCCTGCCCGCTGGCCAGCAGCTGCACTGAGTCCTCTGTCAGGCAGATCCAGAGCTCCCACGTTGTCATTCAGCCGCCTGCTGTGCTGGTGACCCTGCCCGGGCCCATCCTCAGCTCCTCCCCACAGAACACCGCCGTGGGATCCTCCACCTCTGCTGCTGTTGGCAGCATCCTCAGCTGTGAGGGAGTGCCCATCAACTCTGGGGGCTTTGACATCTCCTGCATCACCAGCTGCTCTGGTGGCAATAGATGCTGTCGTCCCTGCTAAAGATGTTGCTTCCAATGTCCTCAGGCAAGAACCTCCAAGACCTTGGAACATGATGCCGGAATCATAAAAGTATTTTGGGACATTGGATTTAGAGTATTTTGCCATTAGTTTCTTCTTCCCCTCGCTCCTCTCTCTTCCCTTCCGTTTCTGTCACCACCACCCAATCCCTCCTTAGTGGTACCTGTTGCTCCCACTCCCTTCCTCCTTTCATGCAGGCCAGGCAGATGGATGAGGCACTTCCAGTCAGCAGGAACAGAAAATATCCACAAGAATGCCTCAGGGCTGGCATTACCTCCTTCCTTGTGATACCTTCAGCACTTAGTTCATTTCTTATGATCATACTGACACATCCTTGCCCCCAGGAAGCATGGAACCTTGCATAGCAGCACTCAGAAGAAGTGTCCGTGAGGGAATGGTAATGAGGTAAGGCAGGAAATGCAAAGTCATTGTAGAGGGAAAATCCAACTCATGCCATACCATTCCCAGAGGTCTTTCCATTCATTTGGGATCATGCAGGAATATCGTCACTTGTGCAGCACAAAGTGAGGACCCTGAGGCACTGTGGGGCCAGGATAAAAGGCAGCCTAACTGGTGGCTCTCTCAACCACTTCTGTCACCTCCTTCTCCTTGGCAACCAGGTGAGTTGGAAGCTTCTTTCTCCTCCACCCTCTCCAAGAAGGCCTTGGCCTTTCTGGCCCTTCTTCCTGCTCCTTGTTCTTCTGGGGGTGTTCTGCTGCGGGGTGCTGTGGGCAGAGGGCAGAGCGTGTGTTGTGGCCAGAGGCTGAGGCTGGGCTGAGGTGCTGATTTGCATCCAGGTTAGGCAGGAGCCCAGCTGGGCCTGGCTGAGCTGGGAAGGACCGTGCTGGGCTCAGGCAAAGGATCCCCAGGTGGGGCCTGCCCAGCCTGGAGCTCGGCAGGCAGCAGGGGCCTTGTCCTGCTGGGGGTGCCTTGCGGGCCGTGTCTCAGGTGTGCGTGTGCTCTGCTTCCTCCCTGCCCTCTGTGCCAGGTGCAGCGCCAGGCTCGAGACATGTCCTGCTCTGAGAAGTGCCAGCAGTGCCGGCCCTGCGAGCCTTGCTGCCAGCCCAGCGGCCCCTGCCCGCTGGCCAGCAGCTGCACTGAGTCCTCTGTCAGGCAGATCCAGAGCTCCCACGTTGTCATTCAGCCGCCTGCTGTGCTGGTGACCCTGCCCGGGCCCATCCTCAGCTCCTCCCCACAGAACACCGCCGTGGGATCCTCCACCTCTGCTGCTGTTGGCAGCATCCTCAGCTGTGAGGGAGTGCCCATCAACTCTGGGGGCTTTGACATCTCCTGCATCACCAGCTGCTCTGGTGGCAATAGATGCTGTCGTCCCTGCTAAAGATGTTGCTTCCAATGTCCTCAGGCAAGAACCTCCAAGACCTTGGAACATGATGCCGGAATCATAAAAGTATTTTGGGACATTGGATTTAGAGTATTTTGCCATTAGTTTCTTCTTCCCCTCGCTCCTCTCTCTTCCCTTCCGTTTCTGTCACCACCACCCAATCCCTCCTTAGTGGTACCTGTTGCTCCCACTCCCTTCCTCCTTTCATGCAGGCCAGGCAGATGGATACCCATGGCTTCTCTTAATGCTGTCCCTGAGAACGATCTCCTTTTCTTTTTTATACTCAATAAAGTTATTTTTGCAATGGAACCTGGGCCTCTGATTTCTCCTTCCTTCTGTGACAACTCTTCCAGTCTCCTTAGCAGAAAGGTGGAAAAGCAGAGAGCTGGACTCACTGCTGTGGATTTTCCTTGTAGCTAAGAAAGACATCCCTGACAGTGAGAGTGATGAGGCACTGTAATAGAGAAGTTACTTCTCATTCCTGGAAGTCTTTAAGGCAAGGTTACTCAAGACTTTGAGCCACTTGGTTTGGTGGGGGCCATTCTTGCCCTTGTTTTGTGGGGTTGGTGGAGTGTTGCAAACAAAAATTGAGTTCCCTTCTATCCCAAGTGTTTCAGTCAGCACAGTCAGGCACCTGGAACAACCACAAAACCATGGTGGAAATACAAAGACTAAATTTATTGCCTTACCTCACTCCACAGAGGAGGTAGAATCAACACTCAGGCAGGGATACACATTGTCCCACTTAGGATCAGTCCCATGGTGCACACACAGGAATTTCAGCAGCCTAAGGCACAGTCCTTGCTAGCAGGGCTCCTCTTTGCACCTGTGCTGTGATCACCCTGTACATTTTGTGATCTCTGAGCTTTGATCTTCCCTCTCCCTAAATGAAGAGCTCACAAATTTCCATGAGAGGGCCTCCATGTCTCTCCAAACACCTAGAGCCTTGTCTCTTCACAGAGATTTTACTTCTCAAAACAGACAGAGGATAAACAGCAGGTGCAGAGTAAAATGATCTCTGCACAGGCGGGGCAAGTGAGGCCCTTCCCACACCCTTCTTTTGCTTCTTCAGAAAGGCATCGGAGTATTTTGTCTAAAGATGCATGTTTGTGCTGTGGCATTCACATGCTCTGAAAAAATCCCTTTGCCCAGGATTTTTCCCCTGGGAAGCTGAGAAGCCTCAGAGAAAAGGAAAACAATTCTTATCTCATTTGCTTCTCCTGTGTTTTGCTCCTTTGGAATGTGTTTGGAGATTGTTTACCCAAGGTGATTGTTTCATTGGATTCTGGTGTGAGTTGTTTCACTCATTGGCCAATCAGGGCCAAGCTGTGTCGAGACTCTGGAAAGAGTCACAAGTTTTCATTATTATCTTTTCAGCACTGAATAAGGATCCTTTCTGTATTCTTTAATATAGTATAGTGTAGTATTCTTTAATATAATATATTATATATTTAATATATTTAATATAATATATACTATATAATATATACTATATTTAATATAATATAGCATCATAAAGTAATAAATTAGCCTTCTGAGAACATGGAGTCAGATTCATCATTCCTACCTGCCACGGAGGCACCTGCAAATACAATATTGTGCCAGTTTGAACAGTGAGCCAGGACAGTCTGAGGAATGTGTCAAATCCTAAACCAGCAGCCACTGCAACCCCTCTGCACGTGTCAGAGATGACCAAGGTGCTGGAGAACTAGTGCTATGAGTGATGATATGGAGCCTTTTCTCTCTGCAAAGCAAAAGGTTTTGGAAAACTCCATCCAGTTTTCCAGCAGTTCAAGGATTCCAACAAAAAGGATGGGGCCTCTTTCATTCCAAGGATTCCCATGGAAAAGGGTGGGTGACCTGGTTTAGGGCAAATTTGGGAGAAAACCTCTAAAGGAGTTCCTCTAGAAAGTGGATTCAAGCAGGCCCTTCCCCCAGCCGGTTCAGGAAAATATTTCCTTGGCAAAAAGTGGAAAAAAACCTGTTTATTTAACAGCAAAAGCATTTACCAGCACAAAAAAAAAAAAAAAAAAAAAAAAAAAAATATTTGAACAATATTAAACAATGAAACCTCTTGCCACTCAGTGCTGGAAATGCCGTGGCCCAGGCCCGACCTGGTGGGCCACAGGTGAACTGATGGTGCTTTTTTGGGTGTTCAGCCCCGAGCAGGTTTAAACAGGTCCAAAGAAAAAGAAAAACTACAGTCCAGGGAACTTCTCTGCCTCAGCTAACCAAAAACTAAGAGCAAAGGAGTGCTCTGTCCTGCCATCTGTCCATCCACAGACAACACAGTCCATGAGCAGGCATGTGGAGGAGTGAATGCAGTTTCTGAAAACAAATTGCGTGCTTCTTTTCCCCCCGCCCATCGCTCTCAGAACAAGTCTTAAAGGTGGAAAAGATATTTCTGGCTTAAACAGACAAATGGGGATACAATTCAGTATAACAAAGTCACCCCAGGAGAATGGGTTATTTCCAAGGAGTTCCCTTATTCAAGAACAGAATGCTCCAGAGCAGGTCCCCAACAGGGGAAGAATTCCTGTCAGCAGGACCTGCTCCAGTTTGGCTGTTTCTCCACTGCAGTGGACATTCCTGCCAGGAGTCTTTTCTGGTGCATGCTCCTCATAGGGTCACAGCTTCCTTCATGGTACATTCACCTGTAAAGGGCTCCATAGAACAGCTGACCCCAATCAGCCTGTCTGTGTGGGTGCTGCTAACCCCAGCCTATGAAACCCTTCAGTCCTGTGTGTCTGGACAGCAGCTGGGCAGAACAGGAGATGCAGTGGAGGTGTCAGATAAGAGCAGGTTGTGGGCTGTCCCTAAGCATTGCTGATTCCCACGCAACCCCTTTCACCCACCATTTCGGTCAAGTTTGGGAACCATCTTCCTCTCTTGGTAGTTGTAGTGGAATACTGAGGGATGTGTTTGTGAGCTCCAAGAGAAAAGGCACAAAGTAGAATCCACTGTAGGGAGTCCCAAGTTCTGCTTGCTCCACCTTTTACCCTGAGCTTACAGGAGAAGTTGACACAGACAAAAAGAGAATCAGAGGCCAAGGCTTGGATGCAAAACAACTTTATTGACTCTAAGCAAGAAGAAGGAGGTAGTTCCAAGAGAGCACCAGGAGCAGCCACTGGGGTGCAGTGGGGGGTATCCATCTGCTGGTCTGCAGAGCAAAGGAGAGAGAGAAGCCAACAGGTCCCACTGTGCTGGCATTGTGTGCTACTGATTGGAAAGGAATGCAAGAGAGAAGAGAGGAGAAGAAGGAAACAAAAGTCAGAGACCCTACATACAGTCCCAAAGTTCTGTCTTCATTTCAGCTCCACTTTCTGAGGTCTTAGAGGTTCTGGTCTGAGGATGTTGCCAGCTGATTTAGCAGGGATGGCATCTGCTGCCACCATAGCAGCTGGTGATGCAAGAGAGGTCAAAACCGCCAGAGCTGATGGGCACACCCTCACAGCTGAGGATGCTGCCAACAGCAGCAGAGGTGGAGGATCCCACGGCGGTGTTCTGTGGGGAGGAGCTGAGGATGGCTGTTCATGTCACCATCCCAGTTAATGGTAGGGGCTGTGTCCTTGTTTCCTGCATTGCTGCCTTTTCATTTCCTGGCTTCTGCCATGTGCATTCCTCTTTCCTGTCTGAAGAC